ATGGAAGGCTGAGTCAACCCTGAGCCGGTGGGATTTGAACCGCTGAACTGCTGATCTAGCCGTCAGCTGAAGTGGCCTGCAGTGCTGCACCCTAACCACTACGCCACCTCGGCTCAGATCAATTTCCTAAACTTGGCAACAATTCTGGGAATTGTGGCCCAGCCATGGTCAAACTTTAGCGAATTTTGCAAAAATTGATTTTCCTAGTTTACACGGGGAGACGCCTGTCCCCAGCTTCCCTCCCACATCCAGGACACAGGTAGTCCTCGACTTAGGACTGTTCACTTAGTGACCGCTGAGGTGCCCTGGATTGTCACGAGATCTCCTTCGGTGGCCTTCTGACAAGCGAAGTGAATGGGGAAGCCAGACCATGAGACTAGCTTGGCAAGTGCACCAGTTCACTTAACGACGGTAGCAAAAAGGTCGCAAAGTGAGGAAAAAGTCCAATAAACCACTGTCTCAAGAGGGTGTGGTCGTACGTCCACCTACACACCCAACAACTTTTTTGCCTATGCAGAGACAAACCCCTCCCCCTCCCCCGTCTCCATTGACTGCATGAATGACAGCTGCTTCTAGCACCGAGGAGAACTGAGAAGGATGCTAGTCCTCATGACTCTGTAAGCCTCTCTTCCTGGGCCAAAATTGGGCCTGAAGCCCCAGGACAAATATTGAAGCCGACCCAATTATTATTATTATTATTATTTGTTTCCAAATTGCTTCACCCGCCACGGCGTCTCATTTAGCGACGGAAAGTTTGGGCAGTTTTTGGCAGATTTCAGCCCACAGCTCAGAGCCATCAAAACTAATTGAGCTTTTGAATCCCGCCCAGCTGTTTTCGTGCCAACCTGGAAAATGTTGTAATACCGACACGTCGTGAATGTTGTAATACCGACACGTCGTTTGATGCTGTTAAAGTCCCAGAATGGCAGATCCAAAAATTCCCTTCTTGTGCAAAAAAAGAAAATAAGGCTTTCCCACCCACCCCAAACCCCCCCAAAACGAAGCAAAGTAAGAATAGGGCCAAGCACGGCAGCTTCACTCACTGGGGCCTTCCGGCGTCTGCTCTCCGGCCGCCTGGCTCTGGTTGGCCGCTCGCTCGTCCAGGACGCTGCGCAGGGCGGTCACTCTCCAGCGAGGGGCTTCCTGGGGGTCCTTCTCCCGGCGGTGCAGGGGGCTGAGGGTGTTGACCTGGGAATTGAGGAGGGGGGCGGGGGAGAGAGGGTTCAGGGGTTTGTTTTCAAAGGGAAGGAACGTGGCGGGCGGAGACTCCCGTCCACGGGAAACGGTTGGGCCTAGTGGTTAAAGCAGCAGGCCACAAAGCAGGAGTTCTTTTTTTTTTTGAAAATTTTATTAATTTCATATATACATTCACAATTATATGATCTCATAACTGTTATTAATAATATGT